CATGGCTCGATTTGTATCCAGAGTCTCCTGGGGCGAGAGCATGAATTTGCATATAGATCTATATTGGATTGACTATCCTATACCTTGTTGCTAGCTACAGTGGGACCTGCAGGTCTACTGGTGCCAAATGTCATTTCTTCTGACGTCTTTCATCGTCGTGTTTTTAGTCGATAGTATGGTACAATCAAATCACATTATACCTTAATAAATAACTGGTTTAAGGTAGTTAGTACAGTAGTAGTTACTATAATACAACCCTAAATTACTATATTATTTTCCCATTTGCATTCACATTGTGATCTTCTCACATAAATGGTAATGTACAAACTATATTTTCATAATGATAGTCACACTTGGGAAAATCACACACTTTTACAAGAAATAAACTTACAAAATAGTCAAGATTTGGTAGAAGGCTACTTTTAGTAGAAAATATAGTATTTTCTAGGAGATACAAAAATATACAAACTTTTTACAAACTTATACATTCAAACACTTAAAAATATTTTCATACAAACAATGACACTAAAATGCTTATGAACTCACCAGCTTTAAAGCTGATAAACTCTTACAAAATAACTTGTATTCTCAGGTCATCAGTAGGCAGGTATCGATGCCAACTTTTGAGAAAATGGAGCACATTCAAGATTCATCTATTATTTTGATTCATATTTTTGGTGTCTTATAAACTATACAGAACACTTGTATTAAAATACATTATTAATACAATGGATGATGTTGTTTGCTTGTTTACTATTATTATGTGTTGTGATACTGTATATGACATCCTCCACCCCGAACATTTCCATCGTTCCGGTTTTGGGGTGTGACACTAGTGATGGGCCAGGAGGAGGCAGTTGTTGATCCCATCGTTGTTACGGGTATGTTCCTCCTCGACAACTCTTATGCATGCATTCTTTTCAATTCTGGTGCGGAGAGAAGTTTTCTTAGTCATGCATTCAAGCATCTACTCAAGCATAAACCCCAACCTTTAACCGAAACATTCACCATTGATATGGTGAACGAAAAGAAAGAGAGCACTAACGACGTATTCATCAGCTGCACCCTTACCCTAAAAGTTTCAACGTCATCATTGACCTTATGCCATTTTCCATAAAAGGCTTCGACGTCATCATCGGCATGGATTGGTTGAGCCCCAATCGTGCTGATATCCTTTGTTATGAAAAAGCCATTCACCTCAATCCACCATCTGGCGAAACCCTCATTATTTATGGTGATAAACTCAGCTCAAACCTTCGTATCATTTCATGCATCAAAGCCCATAAATATCTGCGAAAGGAGTGACATGCATTCCTACCCCCATGTCGTTAATGAGAAGCAGGAAGTTAAAGGCCTCGAGAGCATCCCCGAAGTTTGCAACTTTCCTGATGTCTTCCCCGAAGAGCTTCCCAGAATCCCTCCTGAGCACCAAGTCGTGTTCTGAATCGACTTAATTCACGGAGCTACCCCCGTAGCTAAATCCCCATAATGTCTAGCGCCGATATAAATGCAAGAGTTATCCAGCCAACTCAATGAGCTACTCAACAAGGGATTCATCAGACCGAGTTCCTCACCCTGGGGGAGCCATAGTCTTATTTGTGAAAAAGGAGGATGGATCCTTTCGGATGTGTATAGATTATCGTGAACTAAACAAGCTCACCATCAAAAATCGTTATCCTCTTCCCTGAATCGACGACCTCTTCGATCAACTATAATGAGCTAGTTACTTCTCAATGATAGACCTAAGATCAGGGTGCCATCAACTACGAGTCCATGAGGGTGATGTTCCTAAGACAGCATTTCAGACTCAATATGGTTACTATGAGTTTGTAGTGATGCCCTTCGATCTAACCAACACACTGGTGATATTCATGGATCTGATGAATCGGGTATGCCACCCTTTCTTAGACAAGTTCGTAATAGTGTTCATTGATGATATACTTGTCTACTCTCAGAGTGAGGAATATCATAGACAACACTGGGGGCTATTGTTAGAAACACTAAGATCGGAGAAACTTTATGCAAAGTTTTCAAAGTGCGAATTCTGGATCAGAAAAGTAACTTTCCTTGGTCACTTGGTTAGCAAGGAAGGCATACACGTGGACCCTTCCAAAATTAAGGTGATTAAGAATTGGTCAGCACCAAAGACGACCACATAAATCCGTCAATTCTTGGATCTCTTTGGCTACTATCGCAGGTTTATCCAGAATTTCTCCAGGATTGCTAAAACTTTAACCACCCTGACTCGGAAAGGTGTATCATATAGTTGGGGAGAAAAACAAGACACTTCGTTTCAAACATTGAAGCGGGCCTTATGCAGCATACCTATCGTGTCTCTTCAAGAAGGGACATATGACTTTGTTGTCTACTGTGATGCATCCAACCAAGGCCTATGTTGTGTGCTTATGCAACGAGGAAAGGTTATTGTCTATGCCTCGAGATAGCTGAAAGCACACGAAGACAATTATACAACTCACGACCTGGATTTGGGAGCAGTAGTCTTCGCATTAAAAATATGGAGACATTATCTATACGGAACCAAGTGTACTGTCTTCACCGACCATAAGAGCCTACAACATATTTTCGATCAGAAAGATTTAAACATGAGGCAACGGTGGTGGGTAGAGATACTCAATGATTATGAGTGTGAAATACGCTATCATCCCGGCAAGGTCAATGTGGTAGCGAATGCCCTCAGCTGGAAAGAGTATTCAGGTCGTAGAGTGAAGGCACTAACAATGACCATCCATTCCCTCTATCCGCTCAAATCAAAGAGGCTCAACTGGAAGCCTTAAAACCAGAGAGCATGTTAGATGAAGCCTTGAGAGGAATGGAAAAGAACTTGGATATTAGAGAAGATGGAGTTTACTATTTCATGAACCGGATCTGGACCCCAAAGTTCATTGGTTACAGGAAGGTTGACATTAACGAATCTCACAGGACTAGATACTCTGTTCATCCAGGTTCGGATAAGATGTACCTGGATCTCAAAAAGCTCTATTAGTGGCCAAACATGAAAGCAGAGATCGCTACTTTTGTGGGCAAGTGCCTGACTTGCGCCAAGGTGAAAGTGGAATATCAAAAGCCCTCAGGTCTACTTTAGCAGCCAGGAATACCTGAGTGGAAGTAGGAATGAGTTACGATGGATTTCATCACTAAGTTACCCAAGTCTCCGAGTGGGTATGATACCATCTGGGTAGTTGTTGATCGATTGACTAAATCCACCCACTTCCTGCCAATCAAAGAAACATTCAAGATGGAAAGACTTACACGAATCTACATCTAAGATATAGTTAGTTTGCATGGTGTGCATGTGTCCATTATCTCCGATCGGCATAGCATATTCACCTCGAGATTGTGGCAGTCAATATAGAAGGATCTTGGAACTAAGTTGGATATGAGCACAACTTACTATCCTCAAACCGATGGCAGAGTGAGATGACCATTTAGACATTGGAAGACATGTTGAGAGCATGTGCTATAGACTTTGGCAAGTTGTGGGACACCCATTTACCCCTGGTCGAGTTCTCTTACAATAATAGCTATCACACTAGCATCAACGTTGTGCTGTTTGAACCCCTTTATGGCCATAAGTATAGATCCCCTATGTGCTAGGTTGAGGTGGGTGACACGCAGTTAGTTAGAGGTCAAGTTTCCGCTAGCTCTCTCACTGGCCCATAAATCATCCATGAAACCACATAAAAGATCGTACAAATCCGAGAACGATTAAAGGCTTCAAGAGATAGACAAAAGAGCTACGCTGATAAGAGACAAAAACCCTTGGAGTTCCAGGTTGGTGATCGTGTTCTATTGAAGGTTTCACCTTGGAAAGGCATGATACGCTTGGGAAAGCGTGGAAAGCCGAATCCGAGATACATAGGACCATTTGAGATCCTTGCTGGGATCGGTCCCGTAGCATACAAACTTTGTTTACCCCAAGAGCTTAACAATATTCATCATATCTTCCATGTCTCGAACCTTAAAAAAGTGTTTATCCGACGAAACCCTTGTGATCTCTCTTGATGAGATTGAGATCAATGAGAGCCTTAACTTCATGGAAGAACCAATCGAAATCATGGATCGGGAAATCAAACGAACGAAACAAAGTCGCATACCGACAGTGAAGGTCCGCTGGAATGCCAAGCGGGGACCTGAATTCATTTGGGAGTGTGAATTTCGGGACGAAATTCCCTCTATCGGGGGGGATGATGTGACAACCTGAATATTTTTCCGTTAAAGTTAGCCGTTTTCCGTTAAATAAATTTCACATTTTTATTTGTTTCGCTAAATTTCTATGGTTTGGAAAATCATTTAAGTTTTATATAATTAAATTTATATATGAGTCAGAACCAAAAATCGCGCGAAAAACCCAATTTTCCTTCGAAAAATCAATAGTTTCCCGCCTGACTGGTGTTCACGGCCGTATGGCCGTAAACCCATTCACGACCATAAACTAGTTCGCGGTTGGTGGACCTCACCACCGACCATGAACCCCCTATATATACGTGATCCTACCCTCATTTACACTTTTCTGGCCGAAAACTCCCCCATTCTCTCTTTAACCTCTCGACCGTAAACACCAAAATACCCTCTTTTCTTCCAAAAATGATCAAGAATCAACTTTGGGCGTTATTATAGAGCTTCTAAAATGCATTTTTCATCGGATCAAGCATCGTTGTTCTTAAGTTCACGACCGATAACCCTTCAAATCTTCAAACCTTCAAGGTCCGCAAACCATTCACAGTCGTGAACCCTTCAAAAATTCATATTTCCTTCAAGAACACCGTTCACGCCCATAAACCCTTCAAGGGGCAGTTCACGACTGTAAACCTCTTCACGGCCGCAAACCCTCCTCAAGTGGTGAACTTGACTGAAAACCCGCTTTCCTAGATTCAATCAAGTCCCGGTAACATTCCTAAACCAAAAGTGATACATGTGTGGAAGTGACAAATTTTGAAAATGATAATGGTTACAATGTGGATTTGGGAGGAGACCATGGAATGCATGCTACCTTTAATGTGGGAGATCTTTCACCTTATCTTGATGATGATGGCCTTGATGAATTGAGGTCAATTCCTTTCAAAGGGGGAGGGGATGATCCATGCATGGAACATGAAAGCCCAAAAGGTGATGGATTAGTGATTTATCCCCCTGTTAGAGGGAATTTCGTCCCGAAATTCAAAGATTTGAACTCAAATTGCAAGCTGAAAAGAGAATCGAGGATGAGTCTACTACTTCGGGTCTTCACGCTTCCATGTGGAATCGAATCTCCACTTGACGTTCCAGTGAACCCCCACTATCGGGAAGCATCTAGGTTTCGTTGGGTAGATACTTCTTAAAGATCGAGACGTGAAGTACCAGAGGAATGTTACTAAGTTTCGAGGTTAATCGAAGTTTGTAGGCTACGGGATCAATCCTAATGAGGATTTCGAGAAGTTCTACGTTTATGGAGAGATTCGAATGAATAGATAAAAAGAACTGTAAGTATAATGGTTGTCGAAAAGGAATATACCTGGGGCAACTGTGGGATCGGTGGCTGTCTCACCTTGTCCTACAGCTAGGACTCTTCCAGAGTTGCCAGCTGTTGTTGCATTGGGGCAGTTTCTCTTATAATGCCCGACCTTTCCGCAACCATAACAGACCTAACTGATGCCCGCTTCGAGAGCTTGATTTGTTGGTGTTCTACAATTCCGTGCAAGGTGACCCTCTTAGCCACAATTTTTGCAAAGTTTTATACGACAGGGACCGGGAATATAGTGGTGGTAACTGCACTGGTTACACCACGGGTGAACACCGGCATATCCGGTAATAGGTGCTTGAGCTGAGGAACCGATGACGGGTACAACAGCAGGGGTAGTGGCAGTGTGGACTGTCACCATTTGTTGTCTCTTCGAAAACTCTTGGGAAGGCTGATATTTATCCCCCGCCTCCCAGTACTTCCTTTTCTCACCACTTCTTTCCATCGGCTCAGGAGTAGTGGCTGCTTCCTCTACGTCCTCACTATGGTCAATCAAGATTTGCGCTAGGCATTTGGCGCTGTCGTATCTATCTGGCCTCGCAGCTAAGACGTTCCCTTTGGTTGGCTGAGTTAATCCCCAGATAAACCTCTCAATCTTCTTACTTTCAGGGGTAACCATCCCTTGACAAAGAAGCGCTAGGTCGTCAAACCTAGATGTGTAGGTGGTGATATCGGAACCTTTCATCTTCAGATTCCATAGTTCATGCTCCAACTTCTGTATTTCACCCCGAGGGCAATACTCTGCGTGTAGAAGTTCCTTCATAACTTCCCAACCCATAGCATTAGCTACAGGTAGAGTTAGAGATTTGACTCGGCTATTCCACCAAGTCAGGGCTTTGTTGGTGAGGGTGCAAGCGGTAAACTTTGTCGAATTCTGAACAAGCACAGATCTCGAAGATAGATTCGATCCTTTCTAACCATCGAGTTAGAGCAATGACACCTCCTGTGCCATCGAAGAATGTAGGTTTCGCGTGCATAAAGTCTTTATAGGAACACTCCTTTCGGTGTCCTTGGCTATTCTCCTGGTTTTGAGGTTGGGGACCACCTTCCGAACTACCGGGGTTCGTTTGCGACATGGCTGCTGAAAATGCTGCAGTTAAAACTGACTGAAGGGTTGCCAGGTCGATTTGAAGAGAAGGTGGTGTTTGAGGAGGGTTGTTGTTCTGCGAGCCGGGTCTCTTTCTTGGAGGCATCTTGATCTAATAAGATCAGGAAAAGAGGATGATAAGCCCTCTAAATTGAATCAAGAGATATGATACAAAGGATATCTCTTTATGGCATGCATAGAATTCTATTAAGCGATAAAGCAAGAAGGAGTTATCAAACAGATAAATTATCGCTAAAGAAATGATTAAGGAGTAACGTTGGGATGAGGAATTCTATAACGGATTTGGCTCGAGAAATAATCCCATAGTATTTCATGATTTGCTGCAGCGACGGCTCATTGTTTGGGTATTGGGAAAGTTTTATGCATGTTGCGTACCACAGTCACTCCCAAGCACATGTTGGCCGTGTCTCGAATGAATATAGTTGGCCAGGCTATATTGATACTAGACATGACTACATAACTGCCCAGGTTTAACCGCAGTGTACAACACTCATTTACTTATGTTTTGTTCTACTTGTAGTTACGGATATCGACGGTTCGGTATACTTCTATACTTTTGAAAATACTTATAATTGAGGTATACTTTTAGTTCAGAGCCCTTGTTTATAGTGAATGGAGTATACCAAACCTTACATGGGATAAAACTATAAACACTAATCTGTCACACCCCGAAAACTGAAGGCGGAAACGTCTCCGGGGTGGACTACCAAGTTGAGTATCAAATCCAATGTACATAGTAAGCAAAGTAAACAACCATTACATTACATATCAAAGTTTACATTTGTTCAAAAGTAAAGTTGTACATTCGTAATACATAGTATATATGAACAAAAGTAGAGACGAGTCTTATGTACGCTCCGTCTTCTCCAAAAGATTCGCTTAGTACCTGTCTAATGTTGACCTGAGAATACAAGCAGTTTGAAAATCAGCATAAAGCTGGTGAGTTCATAAGATGTTTGCTTTGTGAAAATGTACGAGTTTCCTTTAGTTTATCGAAAAGTTGTTATCCAAGAAAAATCCCATATTTTCTTAAAAGAGAAGGTTGGTTGATTGTTAGGTTATACGGTTCTGATTGTTTAACTATGATCCCAGGAAAGTCCCATACTTTCCTGATTGTATATTACTAGTTGTAAAAGATGTAATGTTATTCAGTTTGTTACTATTTCTAGTTATATAAGTGTTACCCAGGAAAGCCCCATACTTTCCTGCATGTTGGTTTCTAATGTGAATGATGTTAAAGATGTAAAAGATGTAACTTGGTTAGGTAATATTTTATTTTCCCCAGGAAAGTCCCGTACTTTTCTAAAAGTAATTTTTAGTTATTGAACTTCGACATACTGATTTATTTCCTTTCGTACCTATTGTATTAACTAGGTATTCTGATAATCTAATGCTATTATCTTGGAGTATACTTAGATACATATCTTCATATTCGTGTTCTTATTCTTATACATATTCTTATACTTATTCATGTTCATATTCGTATTCGTTGTTGTATTCGTTTCCCTATTCCTACTCCTATTACTATTCGTATTCGTATTCGTATTCGCAGTCGTATTTGTATTCGCAATCGTATTCGTTTCCCTATTCCTACTCCTATTACTATTCGCAGTCGTATTCGTATTCGCAGTCGTATTCGTATTCGTTCTGTTCCTAATTATAGTTCCGTTATCCATTCTGTTCCTAATTATAGATGTGTTATTCGTTCTGTTTCTAGTTGTAGTTTCGTTATTCGTTCTGTTCCTACTTATAGATGTGTTATTCATTCTGTTTCTAGTTGTAGTTTCGTTATTCGTTCTGTTCCTAATTATAGCTTCGTATTCGTTCTATTCCTAGTTATAGCTTCGTATTCGTTTTCGTTTTCGTAATTAGTCATAATTGGAAATTAGTATAGTTATTCGTAGATTATGAAACATAGTTTAGATTAGAGCATTTTATCGAGAAATCTATGTTTAGTTTGAAAGCTAAATTCGTAATTCGAACTATTTGATAAACACAGTTATTGATATTAGAACATACAGAATGAAAACGATTAAACTGAAAACAATAAGTTGTGAGTACAAGATTTCCTTGTACTTTTGCTTGTATTCCCCCCCTGAAATTAGTGAAAACAGTTGAAAAAGGGTAGGGGTATGAAATCACCGAACGAGAAATGTGACAATTTGGATGCTAAGAGTTGATCCGGGGCTTGTAAACACACGAGGTTCCTAAGTATAATGTAAAGATACACATTTGTACCTAATTAGGACTTAGATTGGTTATTTGGTAAGGACAATTGTTTCTAGTCGCGAAAACACCCGGATACAAGTGTTTGGAGGGACCCGGGTGGCGTTTAGGGACACATATAGTTAGGATAATGAGTTGGGACATCAAAGGAACACTCCCTAAGGAGTTTACGGCCACAAGACCCTCTACCCATGATTTTACGGCCATAAACTCATGGTGGGGTGAGTTAAGGGCAAAAATGGCTTGAATCACTTAAGGGAATTTTTCTAGGTTTGGATTAAAGTCTTGGAATGGATTTTAGACATTAAAATGACCTATTTAAGGGAGTTTACGGCCTAGCATAGGCTCCTGGCCGTAAACTCCTAATTACTCAAGAAAGATTGTGTTTTTGGTTTCCAAACAAATCACATGTGATTACTAAAAATTCCCACAAGCCTAGAAATGAATTTTGGGCACCATTTGGCATGTTTTTGGGAGTTTACGGCCATGGAGCATGCCAATCTGTCACACCCCGAAAATCAAAGGCGGAAACATTTCAGGGGTGGACTACCACGTTGTGTATCAAATCCAATGTACATAGTAATCACAGTAAACAACCATTACATTACATATACATGAAAGTTTACATTTGTTTCAAAAGTAAAGTTATACAAGATATACATATGCATCATATTAACAAAAGTTGAGACGAATCTTCTGAGCACTCCGTCTTCCCCAAAAGATATCACCGGGTACCAGTCTAACTTGGACCTGAGAATACAAGCGGTTTGAAAATCAGCATAAAGCTGGTGAGTTCATAAGCAGTTTTGTTTTATGAAAATGTATCGGTTTCCTTTAGTTTCCGAAAAGGTTTGTTATCCAAGAAAATCCCATATTTTCTTATGTGAAGTTGGTTTAGTTATCATTTGTTACCAATTCGATTACGTGTTGTGTTTTACCCCAGGAAAATCCCATATTTTCCTAATTGTAAGATCAGTTGTATATCACAAAGTATAGTTTAATACACAAAACTATATGTTGAAAATCTTGGGATCACTATCCCGTAGAAGATATAAAATAGTTTGACACATATACAAATACAGATTTAAGATCATGGGACTACCATCCCGGACTAGACACGAGATACTTTGATATATGTGGAAATATAGATTGAAACCATGGGATCACTATCCCGAACAAGATATAGATTTAGACCATGGGATTATCATCCCGTACTTAATATAGATTGAAATCATGGGACTACTATCCCGAAATAGATATAGATTGAAAACCGTGGGATCACTATCCCGGACTAGATATAAGTGTAAACCATGGGATTACTATCCCGTACAAGATATAGTTAAAAATCATGGGGCAAACATCCCGTACAAGTTATAGATACCTAACCATGGGATCACTATCCTGTATAAGATATAAGATATATATACATACTGAAAAACCATGGGAATAACATCACGTACTAGATACAAAATAGCTAGACAATACCATGGGATCACTATCCCGAACCAGATATAAGATTATAAAACCCAAGCTGTGAATAACTTCTGTTAATACATGTTGTGAGTCGGGTAACCATGCTAATACGACAACGAGACCTCCTTGACGTTTGTCAGACGTCGAAACGATATCCAGAAATTTGTCACCCCAGGCATGCCCGCCTAACTGTAGCTAGCAGTTAAGGTGTGGGATTGTCAGTCCCGAATAGATCTATTCACAAATTCCGCGCTCTCCCTCCAGGAGACTCTGGTTACACTTCTGGGGAGGATTTACTGATCATCCATAAAGGGTAGTGACTATCTCACAAACTAGTACTAAACTATTCACAGGGTTCTCATACGATACCAACATACAGTAGATTATGAAACGTAATACAATGAATATAGATACATACAACGAAATTATCTGACAATACATTCAAATGATACAGAGATAAACTGAATCAGACATAGTTTATCTAATAACCTTA